ATGTCTTTCAGGACAAGGTACTCTGGTTTTCCTCCCACCTCTCTGACAGGCCCTTCTCCATGGTAGCCTCCCCCTCCTCTTCCCTTAGATGCCGGTATCCCCAGGACCATCCCTGAAATGCCAGTGTCCCCAGGACCCCATCCCAGCCATCTTCCCTCTCTACCCTCTCTTTGGCAGACTTACCTAAGCTGGTGGTTTAAATTGCCATCAACATGCTGATGTTCTCAAATCCCTACCCTCTCCTCTCAACCTTTATATCTGATGGCCTAACCCAACATCCCTAATTGAGTATCCTAGAGGCATCTGAACTCAATGCATGCATAGCTTGCTCTGGGCCACACTCAGTTTGAAGTGGCATAGGATGAAGGATGAGTGGACATTAGATGAGAAGCGGGATGGGGTGGGATGTGTGGTGGGAATGAATGAAGAGAATGAAGCTGCAGGGACAAGCAGAGGCCAGGACAGGCAGAGCCTTGAGAGTCATGTTAAGAATTCCGTTTTTATCCAAAGACAATGGGAAGACAATGAATGGTGTCAGGCAGATGGAAGAGGAAGTTATGATGAGATTCAGTTTCAGACAAGCCCACTGTAGCTTCACAGGAAAGTCCAGTTTAACTTCCTCCCCTATGGCTGAAATACAGGACCTCCGTCCAGCCCCTTGAGGCATATGTAGTCATGGTCGGTGCTGCCAAGGAGCTTTCAAACTCACTGATCTCTTCCTCAAGCCTTGCCTCCAGGAGTCAAGTGGGGCCAGGCCTGGGTCTCTGGGCAGTGACTGTATGAGGGGCCATGTCCAGACACCCCAGGAAAGATGCTCTGGGAAGGCAGATGAAGAACTCAGTTCGAGAGCTTAGCAGATCATGGACATTAAACCGTAAGTGCAGCCGGCCCACTGCGCCTCTGACTCACAGGGAGTAAATCCCTCCTGGTCGGCACAGTTTCCACATCCATTTAGGGAAAGGCTTAGAGGCATGGAAATCCCAGAATGCCACCACCCCAACAAGAGAGAGATTTAAATCCCACTGCCATTGAGGGCCCAGAGTATTTTTAAGGGATCAAGCCACTAAGATCCTGAGCCTCGGGTTATTTGCGTGAGCCATATGTTCTCCATTCATCCTTTCACAGGAGATGGCCACCCCGCCTGGACAGCCTTGGCCTCAGACCCTAGACTCCTGAGCCCCCGCCCACCCATGCAGGGCAGCCAGGACCTTCATGGAACCTCAAACCCAGCCTTTGGGTGAGGGGTGAGGGAAGAAAAAAATGGATTCACTATGCGTTTGGAAGCAGGGCAAGTGTCATCGTATTATGGTTTTTTGGCAATAGCAGCAACCAGGATAACCAGGCCTTTGTGGATGCCCCTCTTCCCTGTGCAGGCCGTGAACTGTGGATGTTAGGCAGACCTCACCCCATCCTCACATCATCCCCCTCTTCAGCTGGAGAAACTGAGGTTCAGAGAGACAAGGAAACATTGATAGATGGTGGCAGAACCAGGTCTGAATCTGATTTTCCTGAATTCCCAACTCCTTTTCCTTTGCCAAGACCCTGAGCAGTGGATAAGGATCACTGCATGGCTGGAAAGCAAAGCTGCTGCCACATCCAGTGAAACAACCACGATGCAGACCCAGGAGGGATGGCCAAGGCAGGGGTACCGAGGAGGCAGCAGATGGGGAAGGAAGCTACAGAGGGGGCTCCAGGTTGAGACCCGCAGGGGCCTGATGGTGCTGTCCAGGGCACAGCTCAGACTCCCACAGCCCAGAGTCTGGTTTATTCTTCAGCTCTCAAGGGAGAAGGGCCTCTCTTGGCAAGAAAGAACGGCAATCGTGTGATCAGGAGGCCGACGTAGGCAGCAGGCCAGGAGGAGTAGGAATAAAGTTGGGAGGCTGAGAGCTGGGAGAACAGAACGAAACCAACAATAGCCAAGAGGAAACAGACTCGCTCCACAGACATTTGGTACATAGAGACAAAAAGCAGCAGAAAACAGGGACCGGTCTTTGTAAAAGCAGCTGCTGGGCAGAATCATTGTTCTGTGCGCATGCCTTGGCGGGGTGAGGCAGGGAAGGCTTCCAGGTTCAAAGAGGTCTTCACAGTGTGCGTGTGTGAGGGTGACCCTGCGCACTGTGTGTGCCCGTGAAGCCACACATGCGGTGTGTGGTATGTGTGTGAGTGTGACCGTGTATTAGAGTTTGTGGGTAAACAGGACTTCTAAGAAAAGGAGCTATCCTAAAGAGAAAAAGTGCCCTAAGTCTGTAATCAGAAAGGGTCACGACATTTTATTCTTTCTTGTTCGTATAGCTTGACCCTCGCGTGTCAATAATGAAAGTAATTTGGAAAAATAAGTCAGTGGCTTGGCTGAAATGTTCATAGGGAGGTGTCGCCCCACTGACCGTCTGACCATGTGTGTCCTTGTGGATGAGAAAGGCCCAGAACCACATTCCCTGTCCTTTTCCCCAGCCTCAGCTCAGGAAATATTTTACTTCCTTGTAATGTATGTGTTCATCTTTTCCCACTTTAACACCGCACGGGCTGGATTTCAACACAATCTTCTTCCCACTAAAAGTCAGAGCCCCGCTGTACCCAGGCTCATGCAGGGGGCTGGGAATGAGACTGTGGTCTTCTGAGGAAAAGTGACGGAGGTGCTGCAACAGACCCCAGCTGAGTGGGGTCCCTGAGCGCCCCCGAGGGACTTGTGCGGAAACCCCGTTCTTACGGAACAGACAGTTTGGAGCACATTTTCCTCCAATCTAAGTAAATCAGGAACCTACATGCTAGTCTTGGGAAGCCACTACGGGCCGTGTGACTTACTCATGCCTCTGAGCCATTTCCGCAGCTGTCAAATGAGTTGATTTGGGCAGTTTCCCAGGGTGTGCTCTGTGGAGTAGGAATCCCACAAGACAGCCCAAAACACTGGATTTTTTAGTTCTTTCTGAGAAACACTGTACAATTTATTCCTCTCTTCAAGATTCACAGTGCTTATGTGCATAACAAAGGTTCTAGAAGTTCTGCTGGAAAGACATCTGTTGGAAATGGTCTAAACCAGGGTTTTCCACGCTTTGGTAACCCTGGAACCCCATTCCACCCAACAGCCATTCACATTTCCAAAAATTAGAGCTCAGGGGACTTGCTGGGCCAGAGGACCTCTAAGGCTCCTTCCAGTTTAACAGCCTGTTATTCTGGCAACACAACTAGGATGCGTCTTCCAGAGCAGGACCTCTTTCCCATCCTTCTGGAGGGTTTTGATCTGTTTGCCTTCCGCTGAGTAGGACTAGGCCCCAGAGAGTAATTATAGTCTGGGAACAGTGGCTCATGCCTGTAATTCTAGCACTTGGGGAGGCCAAGGTGGATGGATCACTTGAGGTCAGGAGTTTGAGACCAGCCTGGTCAACATGGTGAAACCCCAACTCTACTACAATTATAAAAATTAGCCAGGCATAGTGGTGCCCACCTATAATCCCAACTACTCGGGAGGCTGAGGCAGGAGAATGCCTTGAACCCAGGAGGCCGAGGTTGCAGTGAGCCAAGATTGTGCCACTGTACTCCAGCCTGGGTGACAGAGAGAGAATCCATCTCAAAAAACAAAAAAAGAGAGAGTAATTACCTCTCCCAGAGCAGCAGTCACGACTGGGATAGTGGAAGTAGGGGCTGTAACTCTTATTTATATTCAGTTTTTTTCCTAAAAATAAGAAGTCAATTAAACTTTAACATACATATTTATAACAGCACATGTATGTAATTTGTAAGTAAATAGGCATGTATTAGAGGTACAGTTTCAAAAAATTATTGACAGCAGTGCATGATCAAAAATGTTTGGAGATCACTGACCTAGAAAATGTGCCTCAATATATTAATTTATACTCAAAACCACTAGTTTATCTGATGCTTACTAGAATGGAAAATAAATGTGTAACATGCCACACATGGTGTTTATATCTTAGCTGCTTGTTCTTTTCTTCATGTGTAACAGTCCTTATGTCTACTTCAGGCCTGGAGTATCGTGCTTCATATGTCAATTCAAAATAAACTTACTAAGGAACTTAGATTAGTAACGTAATGATTTTGAATGTAGACCCTGGGCCAGTGTTTCTTGGGAATGTCTCCGTTACGTCGTGAAATGGCATTCACTGTTGTCCACACATACATTTCTGATAATTAAGCAAATTTCTGAACACCTCTTCTTTTTTTTTTTTTGAGACGGAGTTTCGCTCTTGTTACCCAGGCTGGAGTGCAATGGCACGATCTTGGCTCACCGCAACCTCCGCCTCCTAGGTTCAGACAATTCTCCTGCCTCAGCCTCCTGAGTAGCTGGGATTACAGGCACACGCCACCATGCCCAGCTAATTTTTTGTAGTTTTATAGAGACGGGGTTTCACCATGTTGACCAGGATGATCTTGATCGCTTGACCTCGTGATCCACCCGCCTCGGCCTCCCAAAGTGCTGGGATTACAGGCTTGAGCCACCGCGCCCGGCCTCTGAACACCTCTTCTAAGACTCAAAACAGCTAAATGAAACCCAATATCATTACAAAGTTATTCTTTAGCAAATTTAAGGAAGACAATATTTGAGGAAGACAACTCCCATATACATTTTTTTCTTAATAGTTCAGCCTAGGCTCCTATATACAGTTATCCCCAAAATACTTGAGTGTAATTATCTAGCAGGTCACCAGTTGTGAACTTTGAGAAACAAAGCAGCACAATGTGATTTGTACAAAATGATTTTACCCACTCAGTCTCCAACTGTTTATATTTGCCTCAAATCAAAATGCTTTGGCTGAATACAGGACATTCGAATGAAAGTCTCACCCCAGTCCAGTTCTGCCCTCAGTGCTTGTGATACGTAGAGTCTGTGTGCCCAGTGAGAGGCTGAGTTCAGAGAAGTAGCTGTGTTCTCATAGGGCGACATCACGATAGGACCTGCAGCCCCCCTGGGGAGCCATTCCGCTGTGCCACTGCTGCTGCTACCATGCAGGGTAACCTCCCTCCTCTCCCACCCCTGGCTTTACCTTGGCTTGGGCGTCTCCACCTGCCCTGTCCATCGCTTCCTCTTGGTCTTTCTGCTCTCCACGAGAACCATCAGGCAAAACAAGAACAAAATGAGTCTTGTAAAATAAGGCATTTTGTGGACGTCTGTGAGGCAAAAATCTGCTTTCCAATAGCCTGCAGCAGAGTAAATCCCCCCCAGCTTGACCATTGATCCGTCTGCTGCCTCCTGACAGGCTGCTCAGAGGGGCTGTGAGGGCAAGACTGACCAGGCCGGTTGTCCCGATTTACTATTTGATACTGATGCCCCACTCACCCCCACCACTCCAGGCCGTGACACAAACACTAGGCTTTGCCCTCCCTGCTGATTAGTGATTGGCCATTAGTCAAGAAGTTTGTCCTCTCATGAAATTCTGCTTCCGCTGAATCCTAGAATAGCTTTGGCTAAAGCTGTTATATAAAAAAATTAAATCCTTTGAACATGCCAGCTTTGTGCTGAGATTATTGATCCATCTTCTGGCTGCATAAAACCAGTCTGTTCCATCTACCAGGGTGTCAGCTTGTATTCCAAGTAGACTTGCAGAGAGGACTTCGTGGACGTTTAGATGGGTACATAAATGTGTTCAGGAGATGCTGAGTAAACATGAATGACCGGTTTCCTTAGGGTTGAGTTATTTATGGAGCTAAGAGAATATGCTTTACCTATGAGTAAGGGTACTTCCTTTCTCACAAATACAGATCAATGTTTTCCAGCAAAAACATCAAAGCATAAAACACATTTTTAGTTTGAAGGATGGCATAAATCAAAGAATTCATAACTATATAAGTTTTTTTTCCTACAATGAGCATTAAATTAACTTTGGTCTTTAACCCTAAAATGTATCAAATCAAACATCATAAATTAGGCTTAATTCCTATCCTGGGATATGGAATTAAGCACATTAGAATTGTAGAGATACATGTGGTTATGTCTAACCTACTGAACAAAATAGAATATGTTTAAAAACTACTCACTGCTTGCTATGTCCTGGCAATGGAAAAATTCGTGGTAGAACCATAGGGAGATGAGGGTGGAGATCAGAAAGTGGGATAGCTGTAAGTGAAACAGAATTGGGATTTTACAATGTATAAAAGATAGAATCAAAAGAAGCTCTTTGATTCCTTTAAGCAAAGTGAGATGGCATGATCCACTTTATTTTCGAAAGAATTCCTAATTAAGATCAGTTGGTTCAGAGAACTTATGATGACAAAAGAGAATGAGGTCCTGCTCTGAGGAAAGGGAAGAGGGGAGAAGAGAAAGGAAGACAGAGGAGTGAGATACTCAAGTTAGTTCAGAGGTAGCATACATTTGGTGCTTGTGCAGACAAAGTAGGAGGTGAGAGAGAGAGAGAGAAGTCAGCAATAGTATCAAGGATTCTAGTGTGGAGGTGGGTTTGGTGGATGGTACCACCATTAACTGATATTTATTAGAGGTGGACAAGTTTGATGGAGAGATGAGATCAATTTTGACTTGTGGTATTTGAGTCTGAGGGACCTCTGATGCCCAGTGAGAAGCTAGAGTATGGGCCGGGCACAGTGCCTCACACCTGTAATCCCAGCACTTTGGGAGACCAAGGCAGGTGGATTACCTGAGGTCAGGAGTTCAAGATCAGCCTGGCCAACATGATGAAACCCCGTCTCTACTAAAAATACAAAAATTAGCCAGGTGTGGTGGCATGTGCCTATAATCCCAGCTACTCAGGAGGCCGAGGCAGGAGAATGAACCTGGGAGGGAGAGGTTACAGTGAGCCAAGATCATTCCAGCCTGGATGACAGAGCAAGACTCCGTCTCCATTTAAAAAAAAAACTTAGAGCATGAGCCTGAGCTCAGGAGAAAGGTCTAGACTAGAAAAATAGATATGGTAGATATGGAGCTGTAGAGACCAAGCGAAAGTTTTCCCTTTGTCCCATAAAGGATCACTGAAAAATCAACCGACAAAAAAGTAATAGGAGAAAAGGCATACAAATTTGTTAACATGGGGGAAAATCACATCATGATTATCCAATTACCCAGCATGAAACAGGCGTTTATATGCCCTTTTTCATAAGGAAGAGATGGAGGATGTAGACAATTCTTTTGAGGGACAGCTTCCTGCACAGCAAAAGAAACAATCAACAGAGTAAACAGGCAACCCACAGAGTAAGAAAAAATCTTTGCAAACAGTGCATCAAAGGGCTAATATCCAGAATCTACCAAGAACTCAAACGACCACAACAACAACAACAACAAAAACAAGTAACTCCATTAAAAAGTGGGCAAAGGACAAGAACATTTTTCAAATGAAGACACACCAGCAGCCAACAAGCATATAAAATAAAATGCTCAATATAACCACCAGAGAAATGCAAATTAAAACCACAGCGAGGTACATTTTGCACTAGTCAGAATGGCTATTATTATAAAATCTAAAAACAAAAGATGTTCACAAGAATGCAGAGAAAAGGGAATACTTATACACTATTAGTGGGAATGGGAATTAGTACAACCTCTATGGAAAACAGAATGGATAGTTCTCAAAGAACTAAAAATAGAACAACAATTCAGCAATCCCACTACTGGGTATATACCCAAAAGGAAAAAAAGCATTGTATCAAAAAGATACCTGCACTCATATGTAACAACAGAGCAGGAGCTTCACCATCTTGGACAAACACCACCATTTTAAGTTTCACTTGATTTAAAAAAAAAAAAAAACTGCCTAAATCCAGCCCCAAAACATCAGCCTAATGGTTAATGTCAGAATAACCAGAAATATTCCAAGCCTAAGCTAATCTCCGCTCTAACCAGAAACATGCCAACTCAGAGATAGACCCCCCTCTAACCAGAGACATTCCAACCCCACAATAACCTTTCTTTTACCTAGAAACATTCCAAACCTATGATTAGCTCCCCTCTTCTTAAATTCCTAAATATCCTTAGTCTATAAGAAAGAACACTCCTGACCAAAATCAGCCAGAAGCGCTTCTCAGATTTATTCTTCAAAATAAACCTGTTTTTGACTGTTGAGCCACTTTTCATGTTTCTTTCATTTTTCTTTAACTCTTACAATATGTTTATCACAGCACTATTTACAAGAGCGAAGATATGAAACTGATGCTCTGCCTCCTGCACTAAGGAGGCAACATCCATAGCAAAGATATAGAATCAACCCAAGTGTCCATCAACAAAGGATTGGATAAAGAAAATGTGGTATATATTTATGCCATGGGATGCTACTTAGCCATGAAAAAGAATGAATCACATCTTTTGCAGCAACATGGATAGAACTAGAGGCCATGATCCAAAGTGAAATAACTTAGAAAGTCAAATACTGCATGTTGTGTAACTGGGAGCTAAACAATGGGTATACATAGACATACCCAGTAGAATAATAGAAATTGAAGACTTCAAAAGGTGGAAGGGTAGAAGGGGGATGAGGGTTGAAAAATTACCTATTGGAGGCCAGGTGTGGTAGTTCACACCTGTAATCCCAGCACTTTGGGAGGCCTAGGAGGGTGGATCACCTGAGGTCAGGAGTTTGAGACCACCCTGGCCAACATGGTGGAACCCCATCTCTATTAAAAATACAAAAACTTAACCAGGCAATGTGGCAGGGACCTGTAATCCCAGCTACTCGGGAGGCTGACAGGAGAATGCCTTGAGCCTGGGAGGTGAAGGCTGTAGTGAGCCAAGATCATGCCACTGACTTCAGCCTGGGTGACAAGAGCAAGACTGTCTCGAAAACAAAAAGCAAAAACAAAAATTACCTATTGGGTATATTGCTCACTAATTGGGAGACGGGTACACTGAAGGCTCAGATATCACCACTATGCAATATATATGCATGTAAGAAATCTGTACTTGTACCCTCTAAATATATAAAGATAAAAGACAAATAGGATCTAATTTAACTAAAGAGCTTCTGTACAGCAAAAGAAACAATCATTAGAGTGAACAGCAACCAACAGAATGGGAAAAAATTTTTGCAATCTACCCATCTGACAAAGGGCTAATATCCAGAATTTACAAAGAACAAAACAGATTTACAAGAAAAAAACAAACCCATTCAAAAGTGGGCGAAGGACATGAACAGACACTTTCCAAAAGAAGACATATATGAGGCCAACAAACATATGAAGAAATGCTCATCATCACTGGTCATTAGAGAAATGCAAATCAAAACCACATTGAGATATCATCTCATGCCAGTTAGAATGGCGATCATTAAAAAATCTGGAGACAACAGATGCTGGAGAGGATGTAGAGAAATAGGAACACTTTTACACTGTTATTGGGAGCATAAATTAGTTCGACCATTGTGGAAGACAGTGTAGTGATTCCTCAAGGACCAGAAATAGAAATTCCATTTGACCCAGCAATCCCATTTCTGGGTATATAACCAAAGGATTATAAATAGTTCTATTATAAAGACACATGCACACATATGTTCACAGCAGCACTGTTTACAATAGCAAAGACCTGGAACCTACCCAAATGCCCATTGATGATAGACTGGACAAGGAAAATATGGCATATATGCACCATGGAATACTATGCAGCCATAAAAAAACGATGAGTTTGTGTCCTTTGTAGGGACGTGGATGAAGCTGTAAACCATCATTCCCAGCAAACTGACACAAGAACAGAAAAACACCGCATGTTCTCACTCATAGGCAGTTGTTGAACAATGAGAACACATGGACACAGGGAGGGGAGCATCACACACTGAGGTCTGTTGGGGGGAAACGGGAGGGACAGCGGCGGGTAGGGAGAATGGGAAGGGATAACATGGGGAGAAATGCCAGATATTGATGACAGGGGGATGGAGGCAGCAAACCACATTGCCATGTATGTACCTATGCAACAATCCTGCATGTTCTGCACATGTACCCTAGAACCTAAAGTGCAATAATATATATATATATAATGTATATATAATATATATATTATATGTATATAATATATATATATTATATATATAAATGATAATGCTGCTATATTTGTTCACAAGTTTGCATGTAAATATGTTTTCATTTCTTTTGGACATTTTATGTGGCAGTGAAATTGCTGAGTCATATGGTAACTTTATGTTTAACTTTTTGAGGAACTGCCAGATTGTTTTTCAAAGTGGCTCTGCCATTTTACCTTCCTACTAGCAATGTATGAGAGTTCCAGTGTCTCCATATCCTCACCAACACTTCTATCTGTCTTTTTTGTTCTGACCATCCTTTTGAGTGTAAACTGGGATTACTGTGGTTTTGATGTGCATTTCCCTAGTGACTAAGGATGCTGTTCACATGCTTAGTTGACATTTGTGTATCTTCTTTGTAGAAATGTCTATTCAAATTGTTTGCCATTTTAAAATCAGGTTATTTCCTTTTTATTACTGAATTGCAATTCTTTAGATATTTCAGATGCAAGTCCCTTATCAGATATGTGATCTGCAAATATTTTCTCCCATTCTGTGTTGTCTTTTCACTTTCTTAATGGTGTTGAGATGCAAGAGTTTTTTATTTTGATGAAATATAATTTTTCTTTTGGTTGCTTGTGGGTTGTTCTGTTTTGCTTTGTTTTGAAAGACAGGATCTTGCTCTGTGGCCCAGGCTAGAGTGCTGGAGTGCAATGGGGCTATCATAGCTTGCTGTAACCTCGAACTCCTGGGTTCAGGCAATCCTACCACCTCTATCTCCTGCATGGCTAGGGCTACAGGCTAATTTTTTTAAAAAAATTTTTGTAGAGACAGAGTCTTGTTATGTTGCCCAAGCTGGTTTCAAACTCCCAGCCTCAAGTGATCCTCCCACCTTCACCTTCCAAAATGCTGATTATAGGCGTGATCCACCATGCCAGACCTGCTTGTGCTTTTGATGTCATATTTAAGAAACCACTGCATATTCCTTCGTCACATGTTTAGCATGTTTCCAATAATCTTAGAGTTTTAACTCTTACATTTAGACCTTTGATCCATTTTGAATTAACTTTCTATATGGTATGAGGTAGTGGATAATATTGCTTTATTTGCTCATTTTTCTCAGGGCAGGGTATAGCCCCAGTAGATCAAGATCAGAGCTGTGGGAAGGCCCCAGAGACATTTGCTGAGGTCTGATTATGCCAGAAACCTAGGCGGAACTCGAGTCACACACAGCATTGTGCTTTATGTTAAGGGTCTGGCCCTATCTAAGAGCCAATAGGAGAGAAGGGGTCAGGTCTGTATATCGAAGACTCTGGCTGCAATGTAAGGAATGGGGTGAGGCTAGAGACCTGTTAGGAGGTTATTGCACCAATTCAGAGGAGTTAATATCTAAATAGGGTAGTGCCTAGTTAGGGAAGTGGAAAGATGTGAGAGAAACATTCCAGGAGGTAGAATGGATGAGAGACAAGACTGAATGACGTAAAGAATACAACCTTTGGTCAAAAACAAGGTATGAATAAAGTCACTGGTTTTATTGAGCAGCTCAAACTACTTCTGAAGGCAACTGTTCAAAAGATGTTCCCAATAGCTTTTGAGCAATGCAGAGCCTCCCATAAAACCTTTAAAAGTACATCTGTTAATGTGCATATTAGTCTTTGTTAGTCAGGTTTACTAGATGCATTAACCTTACATATACTGCAATTAAGAAAACACAGGCTTTCAGTATTTCAGCCTAGGTTTTTGTTCAAATGAGTCCAAATGTGACTTGTTTATGAGTCCAAATGTTTGTTTTCTGATTCTGATCTATAAAAACGGGTGGTCTCAAGAGACCAGAAAGTTTATTCACAGCCAGAAATGACAGAGTTCTAATTCTCCTGAAATAGGAAACTTTGTATTTCCATAGTCAAAATAACAATTATTGAAATTTAAAAAAAGGTTGAGAATCTTGAAATTCATTTATTTCAGAATAAAATAAGCAGCATGAAAATGTAAAGTGCTACATAAAAGCCCCATATTACATAAATTTTGAAAAGTTCATTGGCTTAAAGTTATAAGTGAAATAGATTATTTATTTTTTCAATAAGCATGCTATTTTAATTACTTTGATATCTCATCATATGCTATGTTGGTCAAAGAAAAAGTCATGAGTTATCTACATCTGAGGATTAAAGTAAGGAGAAGTCCTCAGTCTTTACTTGCCAGAATATATATACATAAGTTTTGGCCTTATACTGGAATTAAGGAGTTAAAGTAGAACTTTAAAAATAATAGTTTTCTAGAGACTTTTCAGTGGGGCTTGGACAAGAAGGGCTCCAAAGACCGATTTTGCTCATTAACCTCACATTGGGGGGTCAGATTGACAATTTAAGGATTTTTAGGGAGCTTATGTGAGGTGAAAGGGAAGAAGAAAATGGTGCCACCTTCAGATGGTGCATCAGGTGCTAAAAAATATCCCAACACAAACAAGCAGGTGGCTAGTTGACAGGTGAGGGAAGAGATGCAAGTCAGATAGAGAAGGATCTGCGCAATGCAAAATCTTCTTGGCTTTGTTTTTTTGTTTTTTTGTTTTTTTTAACTTAGCAGTGAATGCAGCAGGATTGGCTTAAAGTATAGGTACACCCCATGGAAACATGCAACAAGATCACATTGATCCAGAGGCTGGCTCAGGTTTGACTGAGGGGTAATGGAAGGAAGACTGTTCCTAGCACACAATTAATCTCAGCAGAGGTTGAAGTGGTGGGGATTTCTTTCTTCTCATATGACACTACCTGGTTTTCCCAGCTGGGTCAGTGACTTCTTGCTAGGAGACCACTGAGCACTGAACCAATGTTTCTAGTATGTTTCACGTCAAGACTTTAGAATGTATTTTATCATGGCAATAAATTTATAAAATGGTAACCTATGATTTTCCTCACATGAGATCTTCATAAAGTCCTTGAGCTTTTTAGACTTTATTAATTTCAGCTACAGATATAAAAAACAATCTGTAAACAACTTTAAAATGCTAATTTATTAAACTTTAAGACAATTCTGTATTATATAATAGTATACAATATGTTCTTATTTTAGATGTAGAAATAAAACAAAACTGGCTCTCAGATGAAAACAGAAATTGTATCTGACAGTTTTAATAGAACCAACGTTCCATAAACAGGAGTAAAAATTAAATCTGCCTTTAAAATGATTTTACAAATTATTTCTGTTATCCATAATTTCAGTTGGTTAAAACAACATAAGGACTTTATGAATACCCTCCCCTATCCAAGATATACACATATGAGCTAACTTTTGTGGACTGATATAGAACCTAAACACAATTTCCAACATTGTTTGACTTGTAAAAAAATTAACTTACAAACACCCCTTTGGAGCATAACCTATTTGAAAGCTTGGTACTACCTATATTTAAAAATTAAATCTTCATTAACAACACCCTTAAGAGTGCCTTCAGTGCTACAAACTGAACATTGCTGAAGGCAACGTTTTTCTGTGATTATATGGTCTCACCAGGCATGATGATGAGAATATTATCTATTAGAGTCTGTGGAGCTAGCTAGCACTAAGTTATATATTGATTTTTCCACTGAAAATTCTTTCTTGGGCTCTGACTAGGTGGACAATTCTAAGTAAATGTTTTTTCTAACTTCTATCACTGTTACCTGGGCCCTGAGGTTTTCAATTAAAATAATACATGAAATATTTCAATATTATGCATATTCCTGGAATTAAAATTTATAGTGATTATAAAGCTAGGCATATAATACATCTCAAAATACATACATTTCAAAGCAGAGCAAACATTCAAATCTTAAGATCTCCCCATTTAACTTCTGGGAAGAAAATAAAGCAGTCTCCTAGCTTGGACCATTTCTTCCTTAAAACAAAAATCTATGGAAGACTGTTTTACTTCTTTTTAAATTTGTGTGAGTATGGCAGCAGGGGACAGCGGGTGGTGATCACAGCATATCAAAGTGGTTACAAAGTACTCCCTCTTCAAGTAACATCCAGTGACAAAGATGTGATCTCATTTCCTCATAAATGTTTGACTGAAATAAAGTTTTTTCACTGAAGAATGTTTAGACACAAAGTCACAGAATGAGCAATCCCAGTAAATCTCCTATGAATGACTTTTTTAAAGGAACTACTTGAGTTTTGCTTTCCCTTTTCAACTGTTTTATCCCTATACATTCTACATACGTAGAAACAGAGTACTCAATAAATGGTATTGAGTAACTAGTAATAATCACTGGAACTTAAAACATCATCTTTTATCCAAAAATTTCAAAGGGCAATACAGTAAAGAAGTATTATAAATTTACATAAAAAGAAGGTGAAGCATGAGAAAAAACAAGTTATTTCCCTGCAAAGCAGATCAAATAGTGAGACAAGGAACTTTGACTTCCGGTCTCTTACACTAAGCAGGATATAACTGCTAGACATAGTCTGAATGTCTAGATATATTTATACTAAACTTATAAGGATCAAAAAAGGAATGAAGGGTAAATACAAAATAATCTTTTTGTAAACAATTCTTAGATTATACCCAATGCAGAATGTTTAATGAAGCAGTTGAGTCACAGCTCTTAAGTCACAAAACAATATTATAACTCAAAGTCAAATATGTATTCATTGGCCAGATATATTCGTCGGAATATAAGAGCGGCCAATGCCAAAGTCAGGATGACAATCAGTACAGCTGATCCACCATGATCAGTGTGGTTGTCTCTTGGCTGGTGGCCCTGGATTACATCTTGTGAAGTGGATGACCTTCTCTGACTCTGCTGCTGGGCCCGGCGCTGTCGAGGGCTCATGGAAGTATTCTTAGCTACAGGCTGGGTAGGCTGTTGAAAGGATGCTGCCGAGGAATTCTGGACTCCATACTAGGAAATTTTAAGAAATTTTGTTTGAAACTGGCAAAGAAGATTTGTATAAATGCTTGTTATCTATTCAAGAATACATAGAATCTCAGAGTACAACATATGACTAAAGGCAACACTACCAAAAATGACAGTTACTAATAATGTATCCTACCAAGAATGATAGTTACTAATAATGTATCCTTTCGGAGGCATCTAAATTTAGATTAAAAAAAAAAGAGTCGTAACTCTGGACAGCTTTCTGGCCTTTTATTAGTTTTATTGATATATTTAGAAAAACAATCCCTTAAAACATTGACTCTAGATGATATTTTAACACATACACTTACTGAAAATATTGATATACATATAATGTTTTAATTAGGTTCCTATGTTTCAGATGCCTTTTGTCTCTATTTTCTTTTTATCATTATATTTTTAGGGATGGGATCTTGCAGATTGCCCAGGCTGGTCTTGGACTCCTGGGATCAAGCGATCCTCCTGCCTTGGCCTCCCAAAGTGCTGGGATTATAGGTGTGAGCCACTGTACCCAGCCTCAGATGCCTTGTGGATGTTATAACACTGACTAAAAATTTAGTACTTTAATAAAATTCTAAAATGTTTCCTATTTCAAACAATCATACAGCCCTTTGGGAGGCTGAGGCAGGAGGACTGCTTGAGCCCAGGTGTTTGAGACCGGCCTGGCCAACACAGCGAGACACTATCTCTACAAAAAAATTTTAAAACTTAGGTGTGGTTGTGCCCATCTGTGGTCCTAGCTACTTGAGAAGCTGAGGCAAAGAGGATCACTTGAGCTGAGGAGGTTGAGGCTGCTGTGAGCTATGATCACACACCAGCACTCCAGCCTGAGCAACAGAGCAAGACTCTGTTTCTTAAAAATAAATCACATTCTTAGTTAAGTACCTAGTGATTTATATATATATGTATATAAATTTTTCTATAATAACCTAGGATAACCAGCACGTGTGAGGGAGTTTTGCTTTTTAATATAAAATGAAATGGCTTATTCAGAACCTTGACCCCTGGGAAAAGGGGAAAATCTGATAGATTACAAGAACAAACTGCCATTAGTGTTTTTCCCACTTCTGCATTTCCCATTGCTTTTTGATGCTAAAATATCTGCAACAAAAATCAGCAGATGGCCTGATGTTATCAGCTGTGTTTAGAGTTTTAACAATCTCTTCCTCCTCCTCAAGGCTAACAACAACAAAAACATCATAGCTTATCTGGGATTTGATGTATAACATCTCAATGAATTTATATTATACTTAATGTAAAGAAACTACCCTTAGCCAAACTGGTTTCAGTTACTTTCACAGTGGTAAAATTACATAATCATACTCTGAGATAGTTTATATGTAAATATAATTAAAAGCTTAACTTGCAATTGTAGACAACATATTGCTTGTTGGTATTTTAACCAAAAATGGTCTCAATTAATGACCTGTATCTATGAATAAGAATTCTAAGTTTTATGTTGATTAAAATCAAAACAAGAAATACTACTATAATAACATCATTGTTTGTACACTCTAATTTACTTCTTGATTTATTTAATTATATTTCTAGCATTTTTTAAAAGTGTCAAACCTAAGATTCATTCATTCAATCAACAAATAAACACTGACAATCTACTAAATAGAAGGCACTAAGCCAGGCACTGGGGAGACAGTGGAGAAGTTGAAAGAGACCCCTGCCCTTCAAGGAACTTACATTCTGGGAAGAGAGATAGACAATAAATAATTACAAAGTAAATTACAACTGGAATAAGTATAACTGGAATATGTAACAAGGGGGACTTAACATAGATTTAAAATATACAAAGGATTTAAATACATCACAAACAGGAGGCTGTCCTAAAAGGTGAAAAAAGATTACCACCTTCCTTAAGAAAACTATGAAATAGAAAGTAATTAGAAAGCTTTTTTAGCATTTTAAACTAAAACATACTGACTTTAAAGTTAATTCATTATTTTCCTCTGCAATTCATAAATTACCCTGGGATCACACAGAAATGATTACACTGATCCCCACATGCTTTTTTCTTGGACCTCCATCTTCAGTCCCCTATAGTACCACCCTCTCCTTTATTCTTCTTCAACCAACTTTTCCCTGCCCAGCTCACTCTCTGAATAGTAAAGACTTACTCAAGACTATTGAATAAGTTATTGCTGGGTAAAGGGCAAATATACATCTGCCCAACTTCTATTTCAATTTTCCTTCACCCTTTAAAGTCCTCAATAAACTGAGGAATCAACAACAAAAAGGATGTGATTACTTACCCGAACAATCTGTTAGAAAAGACCTCAAAAGACAGTTCATCTTTTATATATAGGAAGGAAAATCATTTTTCCCCCATAATCCTAATTCTTTGGCACCAATCCAGTCATATTTTTTAAATCAGTCTCTCTGATCACCTAGGCCAACCAATTTCTTAGACAATAGGTCAGGGTACACTAACAACACCCATAGCATTCATTCTTTCATTCAACAATTATTTATTGGACACTTACTATATATGAGGTAGCCCTGTCCAACAGAACTTTGTGATGATAGTAATATTTATATCTACACTGTCCAATATGGTACCCATTAACCACATGTGTCTATGAGGCACTTGAAATGTGGCTAGTGTGACTGAGGAACTGAATTTTAAATTTTATTTGATTTTGACTAATTTAAATTTAAATGTAGATAGCTGCATGTGGCTGGTGGCTGCATGTGTTGGACAGAGCAAGTCTAAGGCAAATTTTTGGCTCTAGGACTTTATTAAGTCAGTCCCTTAATGCTGCTGAACAATCCTGCCAAAAATAGTGTCTATTTAGAAAGTGGCTAACATATGGATATTTTGTTTTATTCAGAGTCTAACACTATATTAAAATTAACTTTTCAGAGAATCATGGAATTCTGGAGGGACAAGACAAAAATTAAATCCAGCCCCATTTAACAAAAAAGAAAAGTGTGGCCAGAAAACATGAACAACTTGCTCAACATAATATGATTAATTAGAGGGACTGTTAGAATCCAGTTGTTAAGAGAACCAAATTTTTTCAGATATTTAATCTAGGATCTTCTCCTATTCCAAACAATGATAATGATAGAGACATACATATATATTAAAAGATAAGAGCCATACCGATGTACTGGCCGTAGCACCCTGGAATGTTGTAGGTATATCATCTTGTAAATCAGTTAGTGAAAAAGAGTGGTTTAAGTCTGACTCAGTGATAGTCTTTCCAGATGAATTGACTTCTGCCTATAAACAAGATAGACCCAGGAGCAGCGTTACAACAGGGAATATACAGAATAATTTGCAACCCGCCAAATCCCATCTATTGGATTTATTTTAATTGCTAGTTTAATATCTATTATCAGGCAGTTAAGCACTGAGCACTCTTTTGTCCAACACTGTACTAGGTTTCATAGGAAGAAGCATGAACAACACCTGTTCTCGAGAAGACATTATTTGATGAGGAATCAAACTAACACCCATGGTTCACAATCCACAATGCTAAAACCCTCTCAAAACTCAAGGTTTTTTTGGTAATTTTTAGGCAAAGCCTGACATGAGCTGATGTGAGGCTATGAATAGTCTTTATCCCACATTAATGTAAAAACAAATCCCACATTAATATAATATTCAAGGGTTTGCTGAGGAAATCCTAATGGATTTGATTACGAGGTACTGCCCCAGATATCACTGCAGGTTAATGTATGGTATATGTAAGATCTTTTCTTAAGTTTGAAAAATTCTGACGTACAAAATGCATTTGGTCCTGAGATTTTTCAGAAGCAATTTTAATGTAATAAGAATCCTCAGAAGGAAGAAAGTAACCAGCAGGTTCTGAGCAACTCCTCTTCCAGGCACTACAATAAAAGAGAAGGGCATTGGACCTGGAAAGATAGTCCACAGAGAAGTGGAGAGGGAGGAGAGAGAGCCATGTTGCTTAATGCAGGCTGACATTTCTTTTCGTGAAGGTGATCAAATTCCAGAAGGATTAAATGCTTAATACTTTATTTTTTATTTATTTGTACATATTTTTTTGAGATGGAGTCTCGCTCTGTCCCCCAGGCTGGAGTGCAGTAGCCCAATCTCAGCTCACTACAACCTCCGCCTCCCAGTTCAAGCTATTCTCCTGCCTCAGCCTCTCGCGTAGCTGGGATTACAGGTGCCCGCCACCACGTCCAGCTAATTTTTTGTATTTTTAGTAGAGGCGGGGTTTCACCATGTTAGCCAGGATGGTCTCGATCTCCTGACCTCATGATCTGCCCTCCTTGGCCCCCTCAAAGTGCTGGGATTACAGTCATGAGCCACTGCGCCCGGCTAATACTTTAAATAATTAAATATTTAATACTACTATATAATCCTATGTTCAAGTAAAACATATACAGAAAAAAGGGGTATATGGGAGGTATGCCAAAATATTAACAGTAGCTATTTCTTGAGGATGTGATTATGAATGTCATTTTCTTCTTATTGCTTATCTATATTCTCTATAATAATAGGTAGAATTTATTAAGCACCAGGGACAATTCTGAATGCAACTCGTATATTACATATATTAATTCAGTCCTCACAACAATCCTATAATATAGGTACCATTATTATTTGTAGATAAGAAAAAAGTGCAAAGTGGTTAATATGTCTGACATCATACCACTAATAAGCAACAGAGCTGGGATTTGAACTCTGGCATTGTATACCAGAGTTCAAGTTTCAACCACTCACTATGCTATAAAGCTTTTGTGAATGTAGTTATGAATTTTGTAATAAGAAAAAAACTGTGCCAGTATTAAAACATTTCATGTAACCTATACATATATATACCTACTATGTAACCACAGAAATTAAAAATAAAAAATTAAAATTAAAATATGAAAAAAGAAAAACATTTACAAAACTTTATATTGCAAAAGAACTGCATTGCTTTCCCTTCTATGCAGAATCTAGCAGTAAACAAAAGGGCTACAAGATTAGAATTTATTTAAGGACTTATAGTACCTTAAAACTGATTTGCCTCGCCAGTTCTTTGGCTTCTTGGTCAGCTTGGCTTGAATCGCTTCCAGATTTTAAAGGCAACAGGACATCCTTCATGGCAGAGCCACATCCTTCACAACAGAAATCTTGTGATCTGGTAGAAAACAATTTTTTAAGTGAAAATGAATCAAATAGTTAGATGTTTAATTCCTCTTATTGAGACACTCAAATGCTGAATCATCAAAACGAAAAGAAAGGAACACTGGAAAATTCCATATCACATTTATCCACATGCTATGAATTAGACAATTAATGCAATAATTATAGTCCTGAGACAAGTAAATGTTAGGTTGGCTTTAAAAAAAATCCAGGGCTCAGATTCTATTTTTCCAATAAACTATCTAAAGAAAAATAAGCAGCCAGGTACAGTGGCTCATGTCTGTAATCTGAGCACTCTGGGAGGCTGAAGCCGATGAATCACGAGGTTAGGAGTTCAAGACCAGCCTGGCCAACATGGCAAAACCCCATCTCTGCTAAAAATACAAAAATAGCTGGGCATAGTGGCAGGCGCCTATAATCCCAGCTACTCAGGAGGCTGAGGCAGGAGAATCGCTTGAATCCAGGAGGCAGAGTTTGCAGTGAGCTGAGATTGCATCACTGTACTCCAGCCTGGGCAACAGAATGAGACTCCGTTTCCCATCCCCCCCCCCAAAAGAAAGAAAAAAGCAAAAAAAGAAAAATAAGCTTCACATCTTTTTTTTTGCCCCCACCCCCCCCAGCTCTACATCTATACAATAAAAAATTTGTCTATTATACTATCCTTGAGATCACATAAAACAAACCTCTTTTAAGCCTGTGAAAAAAGTCTTTTAACAAGATCAACTTACCTGATAGCAGAAACATATATAAAGTAGTAAAGAAGCCAATTAAACATAGAATTTACAGATATTTCTAGAAAATAAAAACCTCACAAATCGCAGTATGACTTGAAAGACTTGGGAAAACTTGCAGAAAATCCAAAGACTTAATTTATTACTGATTATTAAGTAGAGACTCAAGATATGTCTGTTAACTAGACTATTTCCTAAAATGTATTTGTTTTTCTATTTTTCCCTTTGTATTCCAGATATAGCCAAAACTTCCTTGAAGTTTACAATAGTCCTATGAGGATATGAATGACTGAAAGTAAATACACATATATAGAAGTATATATTGTTACACTATTGAACTCCTTTTTAAAAAATTGTTTTTCATAGTACTTCTAGTACTTCAAAAACTTCAGGTCTTGAAGAACATGCTAGTTAAAATTATGAAGTAACATCATATAAACAAAATATATGTAAAAGCAGCATAATTTAGTGTTTTGGTTTTTTTTTTAGACAGGGTCTCCTTGTTCTGTCGCCCAGGCTGGAGTGCAGTGGTGCAATCATGGCTCACTGCAGCTTCAACCTCCCAGACCCCAATGTTCTTCCCACTTCAGCCTCCCAAGTAGCTAGATTTTTTTTTTTTCTTTCTTTTTTTTTTTTTTTTGTATTTTTTTTTGTAGAGACAGTGTCTCCCTATGTTACACAAACTGGTCTGGAACTCCTGGGCTCAAGAGATCCTTCTGCCTCGGCTTCCCAAAGTGCTGGGATTACAAACATAAGCCACTCTGCCCAGCCTAATTTAGTATTTATTGATGAGTATTTTTTGTTTTACCAAAAGTGGTACTGTTGTCCACACACCTTTGAGATGTGGTTATATACAAATTATTTGCTTCAAAATGTATTCACTTTTAACTGAGTCAGACGAAACTTAAGTAGAGTGTTTATTCTGAATCTATTAGTTTATCCACAATGGTAGCACGCTACCATGGTTGAATGCAAAATGTTTGTTTGGTTTTTTTTGAGATAGGGTCTCAACTTGTCACCCAGGCTTGAGTGCAGTGGCATGGTCATGGCTCACTGCAGCCTCAACCTCCCCAGGTCAAGCCATCCTTCCACCTCAGTCTTCCAAGTAGCTGAAACTACAGGTACGTGCCACCACGCCCAGCTAATTTTTGTATTTTTTGTAGAGATGGGTTTTTGCCATGTTACCCAGGCTGGTCTTGAACTCCTGAACTCAAGTAATCCACTTACCTTGGCCTCCCAAAGTGCTGAGATTATAAGTGTGAGCCACCATGCCTAGCCCAAAATCATTTTTTAAAAGGTTTCTATTATAGACTGAAAATCTAGAATATATACAGTGAGAAGCCTAGAAGAACAAGAACTCCAGTTCTTTTTTTTTTTTTTTTACCTTGCCCATGAAATCAACTGGATAAAAGCATCAGGATAAAAAAAAACTAACACAGAAAATCGCATGAAAACAAATACTATGTATTCAAAGTACATAGTGTAATCTATGAAGAGTTGTACAAACAAAGTATATCCCCAGAGTTTGGAAATAAGGTTTAAAAAAAAAAGTTGCTTATAAGACCAAGTAGTCTACCAAATCTTCCAGATGCTAAAATCTAACTATTTGATTTAGCAAATATCTGAGGAGGGCCTACTCTGGGGTGTGCTAGGGTAAAACACGACATAATTTAATTAACATACTATGTCTGAAGGGTGGTAGGCAGCAGACTCCAGAGTAGAAAAATTATCAACATCAAAAATTCGATCTCAGCACTACTCAAACAGGGGCTACTCTGAAGGGAAGGTCTGATCTTGGTTATACAGACAAAAATGCATACTAGGTAGCATTAAATCAATTACTTAGATTCTGGTCACTCCAAGGAAATTAGTATAGCTGAATTTCTAAAATAGCAAAACTGAGATAAGATCCTGTAGCCATACTCACTCAGAAAGTAAGTCACATAGTAAGAGGCAGGCCCTACCTCCTAATAGCCATTACCCTGAATACCATTCAGGCCTCAACAAGAATGAAATGCAAAACTTACTTTTTGGCAAGTGCTCTTCTTTCCTCAGGAGTGTAATCTAGAGAACCTATGGCTCCCTCTCCTTTTGTTGGCATAAACCCAATGATGGCTAATAATGCTGTCCTTACTGAAATAAAAAAGTAAACATCAATCTAAATTGCTTTGTAAAAGCAACTGGGTTTATTCTGGAAAGAGAAAAAAAGAGAGTATTATACTTCATAACTATGAATTGACTGAAGTTATAAAAGATTTATATTCACTATAAATTAACACTTACTACTCCATGAAGGCTGCCAAGTTTCAGGATGATGTCCTGAGATGCTCAAACAGATTTTCTTGCCTACTTCAAATCGTCCATTAGCCTGAGGAATGAACAATGCATTTAGGAAATTAAATACGTGTGTTTAATGTTTTATACTTTTAAAGTAAAAATACATTATTTATATATAACTAATAATTTTAGAGATTATCTTTAAAAATTTTTTTAAAATGTAACCTCTAATGGGGCACAGATTTTTTGTCCTTATAGACACTCCAAAAATACTTGTTGGATGCTGAACAATAAAAGCTGTTTTTAGAAGGTGTTTTATATAGCACCTTTTGAAACTGAATTGCACAACTGAAATCTAAATAATTAACACATAAAGTTTTACTGGCCAGTGAAGTGGCTCATGCCTATAATCCCAGCACTCTGAGAGACCGAGGTGGGAGGATCACTTGAGGCCAGGAATTCAAGACCAGCCTGAGCAACACAGTGAGACACTGTCTACAAAATAGAAAAAAGAAAGAAAACTAGCCAAGAGTGGTGGCATGTGCCTCTAGTCCTACCTACTTGGGAAGCTAAGACAGGAAGATTGCTTGAGCCCAGGAGTTCAAGGCCACAGTGAACTATGACTGTATTGCAACACTCCAGCCTGGGTGACCGTGTGAGACCCTGTCTCAGGAGGGGAGGAAAGGGGAGGGCAAGGGAGGAGAGACTGATGCCTGTAATCTCAGCAATTTGGGAGGCTAAGGCAGGAAGATCACTTGAGGCCAGGAGTTTGAGAACAGCCTGGGCAACAAAGTGAAACCCTGTCTCTATGAAAAATAAAAATTAAAAAAAATTAGCCAAGCGTGGTAGTAAATGACTACGGTCTCAGCTACTTAGGAGCCTGAGGTGGGAGGATTATTTGAGTCTGGGACATCAAGGCCACAGTGAGCTGTGATAATGCTATTGCACTCCAGCCTGGGTGACAGAATAAGACCCTATCTCAAGAAAAATGAAAAAAAAAAAAAAAAGAATCTAAAAGAGAAGACATGCAAGAGGCTAGGATGAAACCTCAAGACTCAGTATCCCCTAACTGGATGTTAGTGAGGAAAGACATGGGGAGAATGGCTTTGAGAGAAGTATGATTTTCAGAGGAATGATGAATGAATGAATGAATAATACTTGTGGAATGAAAGTTGGAGAAGACTTTTCAAAAGAAAGGAAGTAATACAGAAAGAGTGTCATGTTGAAAATCAGGGCTGATTCTCAGCCAGTGTGGTTAGTATAGCCATACCATTGGCTAACTATTGAAATATATCTATATTTGTTGGCAAAGAGCTGCTGCTAACCACTGCCCTCCATCACCCCCGTTCTCACCATGTACCAGCCCCTCCCTCCCCTAAGACCACTTAGCTCTCCCCATGATCTAGCAACTAAATAAGTGACTCTTGACATAGAAGAGTGTCTCCAGGACCCTGCTCCAACCCTACTGCCAGCATTAACAGTTCTCAATATCAGCTAATACTTGTTAAGCAGCTTCTATGTCAGACACTTTATGGTATGATTACAATTACCAAACACAACATTCCTTCTGACCAATGAGAAAACTGAATTTTAAAGACACTATGTAATCACCCATAGTGTAATGGAAAGAGCAATGGTCAGAATCCAGGTCTACTGGCTCTTAAACAAATGCTGTCTCCATTATTCAAAATAGAGTTAAAAGCAGCATTAATTTGGTATTTATTGATGAATACCTGTTGTTTCACCATTTGCTACTCCATGTGGGTCAGATGTTTAACTTAGAAGAGGATGAAGACTGAGAAGAAGCAGTGAGATTTCTCAAACTGGTTTCTGAGACTGGTGTAGTAAGCATGTTTCAACAGGGCACTATGTGTGGAAGGTGGCCTGCAGCAGGCTAAACTAGAAGAAGGATGCCTTGGAGGTTACCAAAGAGAAAAACAGGCACAGCTTAAAATGATAACAGATGCAGGAAACAGTTTTTGTGTTTGTTTTTGTTTTTTTCAAGGTTAGGAGATAATTAAACATAGTTAAAAGAAATGAGGAAAGAAAAGCTTAGCAATTAAGAGAGGAATTAGATCAGTAGTTTTCCTTGGCTAGGTATGATGGTGATTTCCTGTCATCCTAGCTCTTTGGGAGGCTGAGGTGGGATAATTGCCTAAGGTCAGTAGTTCAAGACTAGTGAGACCATGTCTCTATCAAAAAGCTTTGTAATTAGCTTGGTACAGTGGCATGTGCCTATAGTCCCAGATACTCAGGAGGCTGAGGTGGGAGGACTGCTTGAGTCGAGCAGTTTAAGGCTACAGTGAGCTATGATTGTGCCACTGCACTCCAACCTGGGCAACAGAGCGAGACCCTGTCTCTCTAAAAAAAGTTTTCCTTTGCATGAAGAAAAGATACGTAAAGTTGGAGGGAAAGAGAGATTCTGAGATAGAAATAGAAATGATGCTAATACTTACTGAGGACTCTGTGTCAGGCTTTAAGAGCTATACAATAAGATATTGATACTTTTCATCCCACATAAACTCAATGAGGTAGGTATCATGGATTCTTATTGTCAAGATGAGGAAACTGAGGAAAAGAGGCTGGAGTGCAGTGGCGGGACCTCAGCTCACTGTAACCTCCACCTCCCTCCCAAGTAGATAAGATTACAGGCACCCACCACCACGCCCAGTTAATTTTTTTTGTAGTTTTAGTAGAGACGAGGTTTCACCATCTTGGCCAAGCTGGTCTTGAACTCCTGACCTCGTGATCCACCCGCCTCAGTCTCCCAAAGAGCTGGGATTAAAGGCATATGCCACCATGTCCAGCCCATTAGCTACTCTTTAGTGAGTAATTATGAAGTGCCAGATGTGTGTGCCCAGCACTTTGCATATATTAATTTATTAAATCCTAACACCCATGATATGATATTTATGCATTCAGTTGTATCACTTTTACTTCTTAAGTGCATCAGCTTCCTAGGAATTATTTTGGAGGATAAAAATTGTAGTCCCAGGGCCTCCACCCCAAAAGCAAAATTATAATAATGTTATATTATTTCTTAATGAAAATGATTTGCTTACTATTTTGCAGCTACCAGGAAGAGTTAAGCCACGAGCATTCTAAAAATCCAGAATTCTTACCGTTAGGAGAATAATGCTTGGTGGTTTCATGGGATACTCTGGTGGCAGTACTATCCGCCCATGATAAACTCCTCCATCAAAATCGGAGTCTGGGGGCCCTCTAACCGTGAAGTGCCATTCAAAAAGGTTATCCTGAACAAAAACAATAATTCACAAGGAATCAATAACCTTAAAAAGTTTGATCATTTTATCAATCTAAATATTAGAAATAGTACCAAGCAAGAAAAATTAAATGTTTTATATTATTGCTAGGATAGTTTCTAATGCACAAGATGTCTCAAGAATATAAATGATAAATTAAATTTATAAGTAAAAGCTATTTAATGTAGCTTTCATGGTCCACTGAGCTAAAATCTTTTTAAATAAACACATTAAAACTTAGTGTTGTTATATATTCATAAGTAACTTACAGGTTTAAATTGGAAATTAATCCTTGAAAGAATAGCAAATTGTGATAATTACCATATAATCAAATAATTACTATGTTTGGGTTATTTTAACACATCTTTAAAAATTATCCGTTATAGTTGCCTAAGCTTATTTACAAAATGATCAGTAATATTAATATATTTAATTTCATCTTACAGTTACCGCATACTTTTCAGTTTACAAAATACTTGCATATAAGTTATTATATTTTTTATTCCCACTGTTACCGTGAAAACCTGCTTGAGCATATTTAAATGCCCTCCTGTTACAGATGAAAAGACTGAGACAGGTAAAGATGTTTGTACAAAAAGACTTGAGTAGCTACAAAGACCCATCAAGGGGCTTCCAAACTTTACTGTAAAGTATCTGGGGTTCTTTCCACTTCCCCTCCCTCATACTCAAGATCTAACCTCAACTTAGTATCTGAGACCCATTTTATAAACAACACAAATCCGTTTCTTCTAAAGTGATTTGCAATGGCTAATGAAATATTCATGAAATATGGTGAATAAAGTGTCAAACTACATTACAAACATCTGTAATGACTCAAAGCAATGAAAAGCAATTTTACAGAATTTGTTTTAAATGTTAAAATACTAAAATCCATATAAAGAACATGGAGACAGAAACTAACCTCTAAAGGTTGTGCATGGTAATGATCTGTTGGATCTTTCAATTCTGCTGCTTCTTTCATTAAACGTTTAACAGCTAAAATAAAATTCACAAAATAGAGATATTTAAAATATACTTTTTCTGATGATTAGCACAGACTTACAAGCCTAATGAAAAATGTGCAAAGGACTACTGCAAATGAGCATATGGCAAAGGTTTAATTATAAGATGATGGGAATAAATAGAGGGGGAGAGGAAGGAAATAGTTGCTAGGCATTAACACTTTTAAAAGACTTATATATTAAATATATATAGTGAAAACACTATTTTTATTTAATAAGTACTTATATAAACTTCCTATATGGTGGTATTTATTGAAGTGCTTTTACAGACATTAATAACTAATTTAACCCTTAATACAACATTACTAGATAGGTATTATTTCTATCCCCACTTTCCAGATGGGAAGCCGAGACACGGAAAGATTATCTAACTTGCTCTAGGTCACACAGCTAGTAAATGAGAGAGATGGGATTCCAACACAGGCAGTTTGGCTCTACCCGTTAAAATGTTTTTATTAACAAAAAATGTATCCTCTGGATCTCATGCTCGGTGAACAGGAAACACCTCTGTATCCTCTACCTCTTGGGACTTTCCATCCACTACCTTGCATTAAATTAATGGACTGTCCTCTGAATTCACTGACTCTCCATAGCCCTGATTAAATTCCTTCTTGAAATGATCCTTCAGCTTTACTAAACCTCCAGTCCACTGACCCCACAACTTTCTTCACCTCTCCTTTACTTATATTCATTTTCCTCTTTATCCACAACCTCAGCTCTTAGGAGTCCCTCTTTCACGCTCCCTTAATAAAATCCATCTGTGCCTGACCCAACCCAACCATCTTATTTGTTGTCTATAGCATCATCGAAAGGAGGAAAAAAAGTCACAGAAGCTGGTGCAGTAATGCCATTGCAAGTCATTATCAACAACCTCCACTGGAACACAATGCCACCTAATGTACCTATATTTCTTTTCTTTTTTTTTTTAATAGAGACGGGGTTTCTCCATTTTGGTCAGGCTGGTCTTGAACTCCTGACTTCAAGTGATCCGCCTGCCTCGGCCTCCCAAAGTGCTGGGATTACAAGCGTGAGCCACCGCGCCCGGTCCCTACATTTCTCTAGTAAGCCTTCCTGCCTACTCTTTCCACCCAGCACTCCAAGATTCCTTCACACCTAGTCTCATTTCTCCTCTCTTTGCATTAATGGCACCCTGCTTTTTATCTCCCTGATAAACTACTCCTAGCATGAGCACACTCAGATGCCTATCACAATCTGCCTATCACAATATACAATCCTATCTGTATCTGTATCTCTGCCTGGCCAAAAAAAAGTTAAGTTACTATCCTACTTCATAATTATTAATATTCTTTTCCATCTCTTACTCTAAACTAAGCGCCTATATGCAGAGACTTTGGTCACTGGATCACCAACTATTTATTGAGTTCCTACTAGGTACTAGATGCTACAGTTTCGACTGTCAAAAAAATATGGCTTTCGTAAAGGCTTATGGCTGGGAGGGGCAGTCAATACAAAATGGCATGATAAATGCTATATTAGAAACATGTAGGCCGGGCGCGGTGGCTCAAGACTGTAATCCCAGCACTTTGGGAGGCCGAGGCGGGTGGATCACAAGGTCAAGAGATCGAGACCATCCTGGTCAACATGGTGAAACCCCGTCTCTACTAAAAATACAAAAAATC